ACATGGTCTCTTGTCCCCTCTTCTGCTTCCCAAAATGTTGTGGGTTGTAAATGGGTTTTTCGTATTAAACGAAATAAAATCGGTGACATTACACAATACAAGGCTCGTCTTGTAGCTCGTGGTTTCACCCAACGAGTGGGCATCGACTATGGGAAACATTTAGTCCCGTGGTCAAGCCTACCACAGTCAGACTAGTCCTCTCTCTTGTCGTTTCACACGGCTGGCCTCTCCGTCAATTAGACATCAACAATGCCTTTCTTCAAGGCACTCTTACCGATGATGTCTTCACTGTTCAACCACCCGGGTTTGTAAACCCCCAATATCCCGCCCATGTTTGCAAATTGCATAAAGCTCTATATGGTTTAAAGAAAGATCCTAGAGCTTGGTACACCGAACTTCGTCATTATCTCCTTCAAGTTGGCTTTCGCAACACTATCTCTGATCCTTCTCTTTTTACGCTATTTGCAAACAACATCACTGTATATCTTCTAGTCTATGTTGATGCATGATATAATCATCACATCAAATATGCCCGACTACCTCGATTCATTCATCTCTCAGCTTTCAAACCGGTTCTCACTTAAGGATCTTGGTACACTTTCCTACTTCTTAGGAGTCAAAGTTATACCTCATAACCATGGTCTGTTTTTAAGCTAACAACGTTACATAAATGACATCCTATGTCGCGCACATATGGATGAATCAAAACCCACATCCACACCCCTTGTTGTTCATCTTCCTTTAACACACTCGGGCACCCCTCTCTCAGACCCCTCTCGATATCGAGGCACTCATTGGTAGCTTGCAATACTTGAGTCTCACTCGACCAAACGTGGCTTTTGCTGTGAACAAATTGGCACAATATATGCAACAACCCACTGATCTTCATATGAGGTCTCTCCATAGACTCCTACGGTACCTCAAAGGGACCTCTGTTATGGGTCTTACCATACACAAGTCCACTCTTATGACTCTTCACGCATACTCTGATGTTGATTGGGCAAGGGATACGGATGATTTCATCTCAACTACCGCATACATCGTGTACATTGGTAAAAATGCTATTTCGTGGTCCTCCAGCAAACAAAAGACAAGAGCAAAGTCATCCACAGAAGCCGAATACAGGGCTGTTGCTGTAGCCTCCACCGAGCTGCTTTGGATTCAAAATTTATTGCACGAGTTGCGTCATCCTCTGACCACTACTTCGGTCATTTACTGTGACAATGCTTGGGCAACTTACGTAAGTGCAAACCCTGTATTTCACTCTCGTATGAAGCATCTTGCCTTAGACTACCATTTCGTGCGCGAAAATGTACAAGCTGGTAAGCTTCGTGTAGCCTACATATCAACAAATGACCAGCTAGCGGATGCTCTTACAAAACCTCTGCCTAAGCTCATGTTTACTACACTGATACGCAAAATCGGCCTGTTATTACCATCACAGTCCGTTTTGAGGGGGCATGTTGGATAAAGATAATGATCGATGATGTACAGCTATCTCATCTCGTGCTACTCTGCTGCTCGTCATTATCTTTTGTCAAATATTGTTTAGTTGTTATCTTGTATAATATTGCTTAGCTTAGTTTCCTTAATCTTAGGGATAATTGCTCATATCATATCTTTTGTAATTATCTTAGTATCATTGTAACTCTATTTGATGCTTGTACTTTTCTCTGTGAATAATCAAGTAAAATCAAATACAATTCTTCTTATCTTATATAACTTGTATTGAAATACTGGGGAGTCGATAGTACAAGAAATTAAATAGGACATACTCCCTCCATTTTTTATTTTTTTTATAGGTTAGAGATGAGATTCCGCGTAGTTTTAGGTGGTTTAATAAAATAAAATGTTAGTGGGTAGATAAAATTATTTTCCCTTAGCCACAAAAGAGAGGCAATGAAATTCCGGTTAAAGAGCCTTTTTCCGCCTTTCGTCTTTCCACGGTTGGAAAACTAGCTCCTATGCGCCTGGAGGTAGGACGTTTTATTGAAAAGTAAAGCGGTGTTAAAGAGAGTGGGACCATTGGAAGAGTGAGAAATGATAAAGTAAGAAAGAGTGGGGACATTAGTGGATAAAGATATATATTATTATATTGTAAGAGATTTTCAAAAATGAATTTCCTTATAAAAAAAAGGGTGAAAATAGTAGCTCTAGCTTATAAAAAAAACGGAGGGAGTATATAATTATGTAATAAGATAAATACTACCTTGTGTTTTTTAGTTGACACCTTTCTCTTTTTACGCTTGTCAATGCACTATTTTAACGCTTAATATCTCTAAATCACGACATTGTAAAATATAAGAAGTGGATTTTAATAAAATATACATTGAGACGATTCAAACAAGATCCCACTTGACTATGTTTTTTCATAGTTATAAATTACAAAAGCTAGTCAAAGTGTAGTTAGTGAATAGTGTAAAAGTCAAATGGTGTCAACTAAAAAATAAAAAAATAAAAAAATAAATAAAATGGAGGAAGTATTACTCTACATGACTACATGTTAATTACTGTATGTCTTCCTTCCTCTATTCTAAGTATAATGCACCATGGCCTATTGGGAGTTGCAAATGTACAAATGTAAAACACGTTCTTGTGTGGCAATTTTCGATTGGCTTAGCCTATCGTCAATTTTTTTTTTTTTTTGTTTTTGACATTCATCATTGATTATATTGCAATTATGTTTATACCAAAATGTCAAGCAAATAAAAAAACACATGATAAGAACCTTTTAAGTCTCACCACTAATCTAAATTAGGCAGCAATAATCACTCAAATAATTAATGGTTGTTCAAGAATCCTCCCAAATGAAGCCGCCAAATCATAGGCGTTGATGAATGTTCTTATCATAGGCGTTGAAGTATTACTCTACATGACTACATGTTAATTACTGTATGTCTTCCTTCCTCTATTCTAAGTATAATGCACCATGGCCTATTGGGAGTTGCAAATGTACAAATGTAAAACACGTTCTTGTGTGGCAATTTTCGATTGGCTTAGCCTATCGTCAATTTTTTTTTTTTTTTTTGTTTTTGACATTCATCATTGATTATATTGCAATTATGTTTATACCAAAATGTCAAGCAAATAAAAAAACACATGATAAGAACCTTTTAAGTCTCACCACTAATCTAAATTAGGCAGCAATAATCACTCAAATAATTAATGGTTGTTCAAGAATCCTCCCAAATGAAGCCGCCAAATCATAGGCGTTGATGAATGTTCTTATCATAGGCGTTGAAGTATTACTCTACATGACTACATGTTAATTACTGTATGTCTTCCTTCCTCTATTCTAAGTATAATGCACCATGGCCTATTGGGAGTTGCAAATGTACAAATGTAAAACACGTTCTTGTGTGGCAATTTTCGATTGGCTTAACCTATCGTCAATATTTTTTTTTTTTTTTTTTTTGACATTCATCATTGATTATATTGCAATTATGTTTATACCACAATGTCAAGCAAATAAAAAAAACACATGAAAAGAACCTTTTAAGTCTCACCACTAATCTAAATTAGGCAGCAATAATCACTCAAATAATTAATGGTTGTTCAAGAATCCTCCCAAATGAAGCCGCCAAATCATAGGCGTTGATGAATGTTCTTATCATAGGCGTTGAAGTATTACTCTACATGACTACATGTTAATTACTGTATGTCTTCCTTCCTCTATTCTAAGTATAATGTACCATGGCCTATTGGGAGTTGCAAATGTACAAATGTAAAACACGTTCTTGTGTGGCAATTTTCGATTGGCTTAGCCTATCGTCAATATTCATTTTTTTTTTAGACATTCATCATTGATTATATTGCAATTATGTTTATACCACAATGTCAAGCAAATAAAAAAAAACACATGAAAAGAACCTTTTAAGTCTCACCACTAATCTAAATTAGGCAGCAATAATCACTCAAATAATTAATGGTTGTTCAAGAATCCTCCCAAATGAAGCCGCCAAATCATAGGCATTGATGAATGTCTTACCTTTGTATATGTGAATATGCTTCTCTAAATCGAAGGTAAAAAGGGAAAAAAATATCTCTAAATCACGACATTGTAAAATATAAGAAGTGGATTTTAATAAAATATACATTGAGACGATTCAAACAAGATCCCACTTGACTATGTTTTTTCATAGTTATAAATTACAAAAGCTAGTCAAAGTGTAGTTAGTGAATAGTGTAAAAGTCAAATGGTGTCAACTAAAAAATAAAAAAATAAAAAAATAAATAAAATGGAGGAAGTATTACTCTACATGACTACATGTTAATTACTGTATGTCTTCCTTCCTCTATTCTAAGTATAATGCACCATGGCCTATTGGGAGTTGCAAATGTACAAATGTAAAACACGTTCTTGTGTGGCAATTTTCGATTGGCTTAGCCTATCGTCAATTTTTTTTTTTTTTTTTTTGTTTTTGACATTCATCATTGATTATATTGCAATTATGTTTATACCAAAATGTCAAGCAAATAAAAAAACACATGATAAGAACCTTTTAAGTCTCACCACTAATCTAAATTAGGCAGCAATAATCACTCAAATAATTAATGGTTGTTCAAGAATCCTCCCAAATGAAGCCGCCAAATCATAGGCGTTGATGAATGTTCTTATCATAGGCGTTGAAGTATTACTCTACATGACTACATGTTAATTACTGTATGTCTTCCTTCCTCTATTCTAAGTATAATGCACCATGGCCTATTGGGAGTTGCAAATGTACAAATGTAAAACACGTTCTTGTGTGGCAATTTTCGATTGGCTTAGCCTATCGTCAATTTTTTTTTTTTTTTGTTTTTGACATTCATCATTGATTATATTGCAATTATGTTTATACCAAAATGTCAAGCAAATAAAAAAACACATGATAAGAACCTTTTAAGTCTCACCACTAATCTAAATTAGGCAGCAATAATCACTCAAATAATTAATGGTTGTTCAAGAATCCTCCCAAATGAAGCCGCCAAATCATAGGCATTGATGAATGTCTTACCTTTGTATATGTGAATATGCTTCTCTAAACCGAAGGTAAAAAGGGAAAAAAATAAAAACGTTCACAGTGGGATTCGAACCCACAATCTCCCGCTCCGGAGGCGAGCGCCTTATCCATTAGGCCATGCGAACGCCTCAATATTCTCAATTTCCCTAATTATTTATTTAAACAAAAATCAGTAAAATTCATCTTCAACAAACCCAGATTAATGGCTGATTCCTTTCTTCTTCACTTCTTGTTCTTCCTCATCTTCTCTTTCTACATTTCTCCACATAAACCCTAACTAAAACCCCCCTCTTTCTCTCTCTTTCTCTCTCCTCTGACCAAAAATTCCATAACAACAATGGCGTTGACCACTCCAAATCTCTTCTTACACAGCCCTAAATTGAATTTCTCCCGCAAAAAATCACTTCCTTTCGCATTTTCTTCCTCCACTTTTCGCCCGCCTTATCCTTCTTCTTCATCTTCTTATCTCAGGTATATTTCTCCGAGTAATTCTCATTAATTTGTTGTTTTTCGTGATTTGAGTTATTGTTTTGCATTTGTTTGAATGAATTGAAATGATTTTAATCAGGGTTAATCGAATTGCCCCTAAAAATTATGGAAGAGTTGTTTGTTCTGCTGCTGGGAGTTCGGGTTCCGACAGCGAATTAAACCCTTATGAGGTAGTTTCTATTCGTTTTTTCTATCATTTGAGTTGTGATCATTTTTAGGAGTTTGGATTATTGTGTTGGTAAATAATATGCGGTCGAGTCGGATATTAAACTTGAATTTGATGATTATTGTTCATTGAAAGATATAGCTAGATGGGTGGGTGTTTGTTACTGTATGGAAAAAAGAACTAGTAATGTGGGTGTAGGATGATAATGGTTCATCTAAAAAACTAGCTAGATGGGGTTATGGGATGATGATGTTCGATAAGAAGAATTAAACTGGTGATGTGGGTATATGATTCCATAAAAGAAACCGAGTAAGAAGGATATATGATGATAGTATTTGTAAAAAGTAAAAAAAACTAGCAATGTGGATTTATGATTCCATAATAGAAAACGAGTGAGAGGGGAATATATGATAATAATGGTCCATCAAAAGAAGTAGCAAGAGGAATATATGATCATATGATGATAAAGAAAAATGGTCCATTAAAAAAAAAAAATTAAGGAAGATGCGTATATGATGATAATTGTCCATAATTAAAACTAGCTAGGATTATGTGTGATAATAAATTAATAATGGTTCATCGAAAACAATACTAAGGTATTTGATAATATTGGTCTTTCCAATGGCAGGAACGAATTGTGAACAGAATAATCTTTTGTTGAATTGTGAATCTAGGTGGATTATGATTTCGTTGTGTTTGGGTTGAATCTTCAAATCTTTGGCAGGGACAGTTTGTAGGGGAAAGGTTTGGTGCTTCAAGAACAATTGTCTTAGCCATATGATGAACCATTGCTTATTTTCTCCTTTATCAATCCATATACAAAAACCAAACACTTGCTCATGATCCATGCTAGCTTTATCTACTACAAGTACTATTTTGAAAAATTCATTGTGACTTCCAGTCTAGTGGGCATGTATTTTGGTTTCATATTTCTAGGATTTTATCTTTTAGGTGCTTGGAGTGAGCCCCATTGAAGGATTTGACACGATTAAGACGGCCTATAGTAGAAAACGCAAAGACGCTGAACGGAGAGGTGATGAAGCCACTGCTGCTATGGTAAATATGCATTTTTCTTCTTCTGGATAAATGCTATTGTCCTAGTTTTCCTGATCTAAGTACTTGGTCATATCTGTAACTAATTTGTGGCTTTTCAGCTAGAAAGGGCTTATGACAAGATCATGATGGCTCAATTAACTAAGAGGAAGAAAGGGGAGACATTTGGCTCATTTAAGGTACATCTTTCTGATAATATTTTTGTGACCTCTGCCTTTATTTATTTATTTTTATTTAGTTTTCATTAGCTGCTATTGTTATATCTCCTTGGCATGCTGCACATGTTTTATAGCTAGTTGCTTGTTTTCCTATCATAGTTTGTGCGATGATTTGTTAATTGGTTCCCCATTGAGATTTGGTTGGTAGTGTGAGACTGTGAGATAAGGTTTTAGAAGGAAGTTAGGTGGTAGATTTGATAGACTTTATCTTTCAATGGTACTTAGAGTGCTTGATTGTACTTTGTCATTTTCTTTTTCCAAGAGCTCAGTCATATTTCATGTGTGTTTTGAAGCTAAAGGAACTTGTTTCATGCTTGAGTTGCAGTTTTATTCTGTAATCCAATTTTTTCTCCCTTTCTCCTTGATAGGCCTGAGTCTGCTGAGCACTTTTAATTAACTGTGGGGTGCTCTTGCAAATTACAGGTTTCAAAGGATATTAAATATGCTGATAAGCAGCCAGTGGTATCATGGGGACCCAGGTTTGTGTTTAGGCTTTTTTCTCTGGACATTGTCTAGTTTTTTATTGCTTGTGTACTGTGAAACGTTTAGTTCTTGTTTCTCCTTTATGTTGTTCTTGATGTATTGGATATAATCCTTTTCCATGGTTTATAGTTTTATATTTTATCTAAGAGCTGATACCTATGAGCTTAATAAAATAGTAAAAATTTCAACAAGGGTTTGCTGTAGTGTATTAGAGGTTTGAAGAGAACAGAGAAAATATAGAAGAGGTGGTTTTCTGGAGAAGGATTGAGATGCAATGAAGATTAATGTAAGAAGAAAAGCAGAGGAAGGTTGTGCTGATAAGCCCTAAAAAGGGCGGTAATCATCTTTCAAGAGGCTAATACTCCCACACAAAGGATAATTACAACAATTTAGAATGATTCTCTCTCACCTCATCCCGTTTTTTATCCTCTCACATCATTAATAAACTGAAATCAGACTCTCACCTATATTAAATTCCATGCATCAAGCACCTCTAGCAGAGGGGGTTTTGCTGACCCATTTAGCCCAATGTATAAAAAGGCTCAAGGCGCAATGAGGCGATGAAGGTCCTGCTGCGCGTAGGCACGCCTCGGTGCTCCTCTTTGAAGTGAGGCGCACGATATAAAACAATTAGAGAATTTGTCTATGTGCGCCTCTCTTAGAGCAAAAAAAAGCTCTCTACCCTAATCGCCTAGCGCTAAGGCACACTTTTTTTATACACTGATTTATCCTCCTTGGTAGCACCTGTTGTTGGGTGCTTTGGATGGGTGGGTGATTAGGTAGATGTAGCACATATAACGAGGGGTAAATTTGTATAATTGTAATGAATGCTGATTAATTGTCATATAAATTGACCTATTTGCAAATGGGCTACATTATCATCTCTTCTCGTCTTCTTTACCAGTTCATCTAACTATTAAATGAACTATGGTATGCTTTCAGGTCCAGTAAGTCTGATGTCAAGGATATACGTATCAACATGGCTATATCTGCTGTATTTGTAAGTGCTGCTTGACCAGTTGCTCTGTGCTTCCCTGTCTTGTTTGGCACATGTCATTATTCACATTTGTTGTCTATAAATAGACACCAATGGTCAGAACTTGGAGATAAGAAATGCAGTTTCTTTGAGTGTCGTATGATGATTATTAATTGTATTTTACATTCAAGCTCTTATACTTTTTTGAAAAACAAAGTTCACATACTTCGTACTTATTTAGCTGTATTGATATGCAGATAGCTTGGATATTCATCAAGCAGAATGCTGAATGGAAGCCAATACAATTTCTGGGTTTTGTTTTTGTGTATCGAATTTTTGAGAAGTTAAAAGCCTTTGAACCACCAGCGTCTCCAACGTTCACTGTAAGAACGCTTAGGAGTTTACAGTGCTTATTTTTGAGGGTTCTGTTCTGCACTTCTGTCATATTATCTTGAACTTCTGCTAAGTATTTGCACATGACCTGATTGCAGGAAGATGGTGAGGATGATGGACGGGGTCTACGAATGGGGAAACGCCTTCTTCGATCTCTTTGCCTAGTGTTTGGTTGTATTGGTCTTGCTTCCTTGGTATGTAGCCTTTTTTATAGCAACTTATTCCGCTTATACGTCTGCTGTCTTTCTATAGTTATCAAGGTCTGCCATTTAACTAATACTAACAGGTTTCAAGTCAGACCTATGTTAGTGTTCAAAATATGAGTTCCACAAACACATCATTGTTTTAACTAACATTCTAAACTTTTTTTATCAGTACTTGTATAAATTCATGGTTCCAATTTTCAAAACACTTGACAGAGAATATACAACAGAGTTTTTCCATGGTTATCAAGCATAGATTGTTAAAACCAGGGCAAATTTAATAGGTTGCGCTTAATTCTATGCTCCCATTGTACATTTTGTGCTCCTGTTTATGTGATCTTCTTCCTATTTTTAGGCTTTTACTGGTGTTCTGAATCTGATAGAGTATTCTGGCAATTACATACCTGCGGCCCTTTACAATAGTCAGGTAAATCCTACCTCCTCTCTCTTTCCCTCTTAGCTCTGCTTTGTTGCAGCTGAACTGAATCATGGAAAATTTGTTTAAAAATCTTATTCTTACTCTTGTTGGTGTAACAGGAACTAATTGTCACTTCTTTATCAGCCATCATTCTCTTCATCCTGGCATCGTATTATAGATGATACAGAGTGTATGAGTTATTCCAGTCTCTTAAACTTGGTAACCAATTTTTTATTGATTCTAAATGCTGAGTTACGACTGCCAAATTTTGTCAAACTACACTCATCCTTACCTGCTGCTCAATATGAGTACCTATGTAGTGTAGCTTGTCCATAGATGTAAATTACGGATAAGTTTTCTCCTTTCTACCGTTTTGTATGCATCAATTACTACGGCAGCTAACGCGCGCAATGCGCGCTCCATAGCTAGTCATGTCCAGGAAGTTCTTTCGGTTCGGCGTTATGTTATAACTGTAGTTATTAGTAGCGTTAATGAAGGAAAATCTGTAAATACATAAATAAACATTTTTAGGGACATAATCGTCTCAACACTATTCATAAGAGTTAACTCATACTTTAGAAAAGGTAGGGATATAAATGTCCACATGCTATTCTTAAGAGTAAAAAAAATTAATATTAATAAGGGCAAATATATAAATAAACATTTTAGGGACATAATTATCTCAACACTATTTATAAAAATGTGGTCATACTTTTATAAGGGGTAAATACATAAATAAACATTCTTAGGGATATATATATCGTCTCAACACTATTTATAAGAGTTTACTCATACTATTAAAGGTAGGGAGTAGGGTGGCTGATGCGTGATGCATAGCTAGTTAACTCAGAGAAGTTTTTTTTTTTTTTTTTTTTACATTTAGTTTTATGTTATAATTTTAGTTGCTGGTAGGATTAATGAGGGAATGTATATAAACTAATTTTTTTAGGGGTATCAATATCTGCATACAATTCTTAAGAGTTATTAAAAAAAAAGGCAATTAACATTAATAAGGGTAAATAAGTAAATAAACATTTTAGAGAGTATAATTATCCAAACACAATTCATTAAAATTAACTCAAACTTTTTAAAAGGTAAAGATGCATCTTTTTGTAATTGCCAAGTTTGAACACAATTCTTAGAGGACTATATTCTAACCGCAACCTTTCTCCATTATTTTCCAAATGAATTGTAGAAGACTAAAAGTTGTGTGGTAGCACTTATATCCTTCAAAAGTTGTCTTATATTTTTTTTTACAATGGTCAGAAAAGGGATTAATCCTTAAAGTTCTTAAAAAAACAACAACAAATGCAATGAAAAAACGAAAGGGATCTCTGAGTCTCTTTAACTTTTGTTGTTTTTAGGTTTATATTAATTTTCCTTCTTCGATAAACTTTACTCCCTTGAAAGATAGGATTTTTCTTCTTCTCTAGAAGGTTCTTTTCTCCTTTGAAAGGTGGAGTTTTTCTTCTATTCTTTTGAGGGAGGATTTGCCTTTTCTCTTTACTGAATTATTGTGTAATTATTTCATTGGTGAAGAATTACGAGGTATCGCAAAATTTATCCATTTCTCAAGTACAATTAGATGAATTAGATGATGAAAATCATCATCACAACTACAACAATACAAGAGCTACTCGACAATCGTAGTTTATACTAAAGAATTCTTTAATTGATTGAATATGTTATGAATTTTTTAAATACAAATATCTTTCTGTATGATTTTTTATTTATAAATTGATTTTACTATTAAAAAAATTCTTTAGTAACGTTTGAATTTATCTAATCCAAAAATTTAACACCAATAAAGAGGTCATTTTTATCTGGTACGAGGTCACAATCTCTAAGGGGGATCCGGGGATGGAGAGATGATCCAAAACTTTGTTTAAGTATTTTCTTTGTAGAAACAAACACAAACTATTGGTACTGCAGTCCGCACTCAATATTTCGTGTGACAACTAGAAGAACCAAGCAAGCTCTCTCTATTACTTTCTCTCTTCCCCGTTAATGGTGGTTTCTTTGACGATTTCCGCAGCGTCGGTGCCGACCATTGTCAATGTCATTTCTCTCTCCTTAGCTCTCCACTGCCGATTTCCTCCGCGTTATTTAGCAGCGTAGTTTCGTCCGTCGGTTTTTTGTTTTTGATTGAATCTTTGGTAGTTTGATTTGTTTGAGGGTTGACTTTGTTGATCTCTGGTTTGTTCTTTTTCCTAGTTAATCAACGCAATTGTATTGAAAAAAATGTTTATTAGTGGCAGAAATTGGATGAAATGGGTATGTTTTGCTAGATTGATGTAGTTGAGGTCGGGGTTGATTGAATTTGAGAATCTTATTTAATTGAAGCTATATCAATATCATGTGATTGCATTCATTTTTAAAAGTTTATAAGAATTAGAATGGTTGATTGTTGACTCTGATGCACGGAAACATGAAAATTCATTGCCGTATCATTTCCGAAACGCAAAACGTTTTACGTTTCGAAACGCATTTGAAAGTTTCCTGATTTTGCGAAACGTCTCACACCATTTGAAAGTTTGGAAACCGTGGGGAAACTTAATCAAGGGTATAAAAAAGCGTTTCCCCTTGAATAACGCAATTAAACCTTGATGGTTTGGGGTTTAGTTTTTTGTTTTAATTCGAGAAAAAAAGGGAAATCTTACAAATTACCGTCTTCTTCATTGTTCATCTGCGTGACTCCCGGATGGCCGTATGAAATTTTTTAGTATTTATTCGCAATTGATGAATTGTCTCCATATATATTCTTATTGCTTAAAGAAGAGAGAGATGAATGACAGTGGTAACATTGTATTAGAAAAGAGGAAAAGTTTGGTCTTTAATCCATTGGTATTTTATTTTAAATAAATATCTTTTATTTATTTACTTTTTCGTTTCCCCGTTTCTCACAATTTAATAATTTCCGTTTTCCCGATTCCCTGATTTCCGTTTCTGTGCAACTTAGATTGTTGATTTAACTATTTAATTTTTATAAAATAAATTCCATTGTCTAAATGATATCATCTATCTATAAGTTGGATGATATCCTCTATAATTAGATATGATATCATGTATATCAGCCAACATTAGGAACATATCAGACATTATAAAATCATATCAGCCAACAAAAAGAACATATTAGCCAATAAAAGATACATATCAGCCAACAAAAGGAACATATCAGCCAATAGAAGAAACATATATATCAGTCAACAAATGAAACATATTAGCCAACAAAAGGATGAAATCAAACAACAAAAGCAACATATAAGCCAACAAAATTAACATATAAGCCAACAAAATGAAACATATAAGCCAACAAAATATACATATCAGCCAACAAAATAAAGATATCAGCCAATTATAAAGAAACATATTAGTCAATTGATATCTGATAATAGCCAACAAAAGGAACATATCAAACATTAAAAAAAATAAATAAAAAAAAAAAAAAAAAAAAACTTATCAGCCAATACAAAAAAATATATCAGCCAACAAATGATACATATCAGCCAACAAACGAAACATATCAACCAACAAATGAAACATATCAGCCAAACCTGTTACAGGTAATTATGCGTGCGACAATCCGCACACAATACCTTCTCATAAACAAAATAGTTGTCTAATTTATTTTCTACATATCAATGAGAAAATAGATCTTCTAAAATAATGTTAGATCAATACTGGATTTTCTATTGTTAAGTGATGTCATATATTCGAGCCTAATATATAATTTGCTAAACTCATGAGTATGCCATAATTTATTTATTTTTAAAAAAACTTATATGAACGTAATTGTTTAAATTAAGCTTAAAATATATTACATATATATCTTTTTTTAAAAGACAACTGAAATTATGACGTAGGCTATGTTTAGTTCACTTTATTTTAAATCATATCAAATTAAAAAATAATAAATTTTAAATAGAAAAAATCTCAAAGAAGTAAACAAAAGAAAACAGACGAAGTATATGCAATAATAATGACGAATGAGCAAGATACACTAGTCGTGGTGTATCTCACTCAGATTATATGATTTCATAAAATAAATAAAGTCATCATAGAGTGACGATAATGTAACAGTCGAAGGCAACTACGTAGTACTTAAGATAGAACACAACTACACAAGTTTGGTGCATGCAGAAATTAATTAAAAAAACAAATACATACTCAGAAATTTGATCAATTTAATTACATGATGATTATCCAAATAAAAGAATTGTACTTTATCATCTCATGCTCGGCCCATTTATTTTTTAAACTATAAACAAATTTATGATTCTCGCCAAACAATAAAATTCAAGTATTATGATTTATGTCATGAAGTGTATAATGATACGCAAGAATCATTCTTACGACGAGGAACTGCATACATAACTGATTCGATTTTGGTCATAAATCATTGCTTCCAAATAATGTTTGAAAATGATTGTTGAAATAACCAAATATTAATACAGGATAATAAGAACTCTAATAGTTGAAGACGCGTTATATTTATTTAATTTTTATTAATTTAAATTATTTAATCTATTATACATTATGAGAGCTTAATTGGTTTTTTTTTTTTTAAAGTGACAAGTATCACAAGTTGATTGGTTAAATTTTTTTAAAAACAAACAAAATTAAAAAAAATTCACCAGCCAAACCCCAAATCTCGGCCACCCAAACCTTGCTGCTACTCCCCCTCCCCCAGCGCCGGTGATGCGACCCACCTTCCTTCCCTCCTTTTCCGTCAACGAATCTCCTTTTTCGCTGGCGACCACAACCGTCAACCGTGCTCCAGCCACCACCACCACTCGAAACTCCCTTTAAACCACCTCCCCAACTCCCAAAAACCCCCAAACACCCCCCCCACCATCGAAAACCCTAGCCACTGGGGTTTCGAGGTGGGGGGAAGGGCGGTTTGGGGTTTTTGGGAGTGGGGGAGGGGTTTGTTTCCTAGTTTCTTGGGGGAATGGCAGGGGGTTTTGGGGAGGGGGGAAATCGGCGACGCCAACGGTTAGAAAGGGGCGGCTGGCCGGCACGGAATAGGCAGCGATCTGGGCAGCAGGCTGGTGTTAAGGTGGGCCGGTGGGGAAGGGGAGGTTGACTGGTGTTTTGTGATTTTTTTTTTAATTTTTTTTTTGTTTTTCTTTTTTGTTTTTGGTTTTGTTTTGTTTTTTTTTTTGTTTTTTTTTTTTAATTTTTTGTGCCAATCAGGATTTGACACTTGTCAAGTGACCTGATATAATAGGTCGACTTTTTTTGACCGATTTGGGATTGACGAAAGTAAACAGCCCTCAAAGTACGGATTATTTTAGTTGAGATTATTCTTTACAAAATTAGGATTATTAAAAGAAAATACAGCAAATTAAAGTTGAGATTATTCTTTACAATTTTTCCTACTTAATAACCTGAAAGACAATAAATGACAAGGAAAAAAAGGGAGAGCCCTTATTTAGCTGATATTCACTGACC